TGACTTGCTAAATATGAACATGACATCAAACGCCTTCAAGAAATATAGAAATACTTTATCACGATCAAATGGATTGACATTAACGACTTCACCACTACTAATTCCATATCTTTTGCTAATTTGTATATTTTATTATTAATTCGATATTGAGATTTAATAGTATTTTTAATTTTTATGTAATGACAGACCTCATGAATTATTCACAAAATTATTTGTTTTAAATGATTTATAATTCTTTTTTTTTGAATTCATTATATATGGAAGAACCTAATGATAATTAAACATATACAAAATTAGTTTTTTAAAACTGATTAAAATTTTACTTCACTACGATAATTACTTTGGTGTTTTAACGAAAATCATTCATTAGAACGAATCCTATGAATTTTTTATACGGTTTGTATTATACTAGTGCCTGTTTAAAGCCTGATTTATTAAGAAGTTTAAAACTAAAATCACCGCTTCACAAAAAATGTGTTAGAAACACGGAATCTTATTACCATAGTTTATGCTCCAAAGATTTTCTTACAGACATTCAAATACACACAAACACATGCACGGGTAATTAAATTCATAAATAGTTTTATTTTATTTGACTAAAAAAATCATTAACAACGATTAAAAAAACTAAATTAAAATCTAGGTATGATACTGTTAATTGAATTTTTTTAATATATCGTGTACAAACTACTAAAAATGCAAAACTCGGGATATTTATTATTCGTTTCATCAATTTTGATATTTATTGAAGCTATTGTAAGCGTCAATATATTTTGAAGAACAAAAAAGCAAAAGTTTAACCTATTGAACATTAATGGAAAGAGATCAATAAATTAACAGCTTACTCTTAAATTTACAAAGCGACTAATTTTTTGTATACAAATAATTTAATTTTGACCATAGGTTGCTAAATATGTTTTCTAATTAGATTAACTAGATTCCATTTAAATTTACATTGCGCAAATGCTCTCGAATCTGAGAATTAGAATTTCGGCATTTTGAAGGCAAAATTCAAGTTCTGAATTTATATTCACAAGATAAATTGATATAGTATACTGTCAATAATTTTGGCTATAGAAACAAAAGCGTGATCTATAGAAGTATTGAATACAAATTTTTGGTTAATTTGGCTTTCCACACATTCTCCTAGTTTTGAAAAATAATTGAATGCATCTTTTTAATTCCGGAACAACTTG